TCGATTCGACGTTTAATTAATGATAATTTCTTGCTAGGTAATTAACAATTTATTCATAAAGTATAAAATAGACTGTATGTTTCTTAAAATTATATATATTGTACCAAAAAGATGTGTATTAATTATAGAAAATATATCATTTTTCTGTGATCTTTGTATTACTGGGAAATCTGAAAAAATATAAATAAAAGATTATTTTTTTCTACAATAACTAAATATATATATAATATATATATTTATTTAAGATTAATTGTAACTTACCCATACATAGGCACAATACATTTATATTTCTCAGATTTCCCTTTATATTTGTTTGAAATGCAGCTTTTGACGAAGCAATATACAACCATCTCGATTTTTTCCAAGGCTGAATAGTTTCAGCCTTGGAATGCCTTGGAACTCTGAGCTGCTCTGTTTGAAAAATCCGCTCGTCGCCGCTGCCAGTTAAGAGACTATAGTTGAGCGGTCAGATGGAGCCGTTCGGCTCGGGTCGCACTCTGCGCTTGCGTTGTTGCTACTGCACGGAGGACGAGCAGTGTTCGTTAACAAAGTGTTTCTTTTCTTGTCGTTACATGACATTCCTTTTGAAAGACGAAAAGAAGCGGTGTGTTGCCAAGCAAGGCCAGTTCTTTGTTCTTTGGAGGCCGAAGCGTCTTTTGGACACTCAATCTATTAGACGATCATACTGATCAGGAAACTTAGAAGGAGGTTGGCATCGTCACAGCCGTGACAAGGTCCGAACTCGATAACGGAAAAATTCGCAAAAAAAGGTTAGAACTGTCTCAAGATCTGCGGATATTTCTCGTTCTTCACACTCAATGAAGAACGAATCTTGTGACATCGTGTTACGTGTTGCGTCTTTGGGTTTCACTCTAAGTTTATTCTCGAGCCTACAGGACGTTTCACTTACGATTAGTGCTGTCTCAAGATCTGCGGATATTTCTCGTTCTTCACACTCAATGAAGAACGAATCTTGTGACATCGTGTTACGTGTTGCGTCTTTGGGTTTCACTCTAAGTTTATTCTCGAGCCTACATGACGTTTTAACTTTAATGAGAAACTCTCTCTCTCTTTTCTTTCAGAGTCTGCCGTGACTGCTTTTCTTTTCAGTTTTGAAATTAAAGTCATCATTTAACACAATTGTCAAGTCTTCATTGAAATTTTGAAAAAAACTATCATTTATAATATTTTCATTTACATAAAAGTTATTATACTAAAGATTGTTTCCTATAAATAAAAACAAAATTGTATTTGAACTATTTTACTTGCACTTCATTTATCTTTCAGAACATTAAATATGCTCTGAGCATGTCTTTGACTACAATCAAAGAAGCACGTTCAAAGGTGTCATGTGCCCTACCAGCTGACGTTAGTTCACGCATTCCTCAATTGGTCGATGGGGGTGCGACACATCTTGACAACAAGTCTGAAGTTGCTGCTGGCAGTCCATATTATAGCTGCGTTCGGAAACGTCGCTCGGATGCCTCCGATGTCTCGGATTCGTTATCTGTCCTTTAACATTAAATGTTAAACGAAGACAGATAATGAATCCGAGGCATCGAAGGCATCCGAGCGACATTTCCGAACGCAGCCTATATAGTCAAAAGTGCGAACAACAGAATTTTATCATTCTCGGTGGAATCAAAATAGGATAAAAGACAATTGAAAACGACTAAAAGTAATAATTATTAAGACTTGAGTAATAAATATTAAAACTAATAAATCGTCAAGCTGCTTGGCTTTCAAAAACGAAAATTCGCTGCAGCGAAAAAGGCAGCAAAGAGCACAGCGGTCGAAGGAAAAAGAACAAAATAGATCAAAACGGTGAGTTTAATAACGGAATAACGAAAAGTATTGTCATTCAAAATTCATCGATGCAATGAAGATAATTTTTTATATGTTTCGTTTCGTAGAGTCTATTCAAGATCACAGGTACTTTGTACTTGTTTGTGTATACTAAGAAGTTTAATATAACAGTTGTGAGCTGGAATTGAACTAATTGAAGTAGACTGAAATCAGTAACAACGGCTGTCTCCGACCAGAGATTACTTTCAATTCCTGAAAATGTGAACGTCATAGCATGGAGATTTTTATAGGAATGGTGAGTGTGAATGCATTTATTGTCGCAACCTATGCAATTGTAATTGCAATGAATTGAAAACTTTACAAAGTAACGAAAGTAATATTTTAATTTAATGAATTATCTTTTCTCCAATTTCAAATCCATTTTAATAATTGAATGTTTTTCCATAGGAAATTCCAAAATATAAAACTTAAACTGGAAACATGATATGATTCATGGAATTGGTTGGCAGGTTATACAAGACTTAGCGCCGAGACACTACTGTCTCCAGATAAGAAAAATGTGACATCAATGAGAGGTTAAGAAGACAAATAAAAATCTGTGATGTATATTTCCTGTGATAAGTTGCGTACATGTGTAGTATAAATGTAGCGTATACATGTAATATAAATTTTTGTACTAATGACCTGATTCCTCGCATACTGATAATTAGCTTACATTTTCATATTTTTCACAATGGCTCCTCAAATTAAGTTTTTTTTGCCGATTTCCGGGCATTGCAGCAATGCGTATTATTGGTCCGGAGGTGGGATTGAGAAAATAAAAAATAAGCACTTCTACAGAAAAAAGTTATTTCAACAAAATGGAAAAATATTCGTGACATTGATGTTACACAAGATTGTCGTAATAAATTCGTGTGTGAAGACCATTTTCGGCAAACAGATTTCGTTAATTTTACTAGACATGCTTTGAATCCTTTCGCGGTTCCGTCGTGCTTAGAAGTTGAATCGAACTTTAATCCAATATAGGTTTCAGCTCCTTTTGAAAACAGTCCAAAAAATACGAATTATTTGCATCCACTGAATTCTGTTGAATCATCTCTTGTTTGTAATGATTCGCGTGCAATGTCCACATTAATTAATGTGATTAACAGAAACAATAACTCTGTTCATAATGACATAGCCTGTGAGAATGCTGCCACTGACACTAACGTAACGGAAAGTTTATGCAAAAATATTGCAAATGTTGAAAATGTTAATTCCCACATTTGTTCAAAATCAGACAATAGAGAAAACTGGGACCTGTTATATTGTATACTCGATAATATGATCGACGATACAGATGATAATAATAAGACAATAGATAATAATATTTCAATTGTATCAACAGCACAAACAACACCAAAAAAAAGAAAATTTGGTTTTTTGTCAGAGGCAAGTGTATCTTCAAAGGAAATGACGCCGCGCAAGAGTCGAATGTACGAAGTTCATCGAAAAGTTGCAAAAAAAATGTATAAATTTAAAAGACAATTGCAGAACAAAACGGACACTTTGAAACAATTAAAAGAGTGGAGCTATAATCGTGGAGTTTTCGAATGTATATAGAATCGACTCAACGAGGTAACGAAAAATTTCATTGACTCTCAATTACGAAACGTAGACCGGTCATCTTTTGCGAGAAGATGGACAGAACAAGATAAGATTTTTGCTTTATCACTTTACAAGCGCAGTCCACGGGTATATAAATATCTGTCTAACTACTTTCAGTTACCATCTACTCGTACGTTGCAAAGTATTCTTTCATAGGTCTCTTTTACTGGAATTTAACAAGTTATTGCAACAATTAAAAATCAAAAGTGATGAAATGAATCCGTTGGACCGATATTGTGCTTTACTGTTTGATGAAGTATCTTTAGACAATGACTTTTATTATGAAGCTTATAAGCAAAAAATAATTGGCTACGAAGACCTAGGAGAGTTGGGTCGGATAAGCAAACCAACAAACCATGCTCTTGTTTTAATGATAAGAGGTTTACGAAAATCCTGGAAGCAAGAGTTGTAGCTTACTATTTTACTACATATACAATTTCTTGTCTGAGTCTTAAGGTTATAATAAAGAACGTAATTTCTGAATTACAAAAAATTGGAATAATAGTAAAAGCAACAGTTTACGACCAGGGTTCCATCCAAAGAAGGGCCATTACAGAGCTGTCTGCTGAAAATCGAATTGACCCAACTACGTACATTTTTACTGTCAATAATGAAACAATAGTGATGATTTATAATGTCCCTCACTTACTCAAATGTACGCGAAATGCATTACTAAAATGTAAAATTAGATTCGAAAATAATAAAATTGCAAAATTTGAACATATAAAAACAGTTTTCGAAATAGACCAGACGAGATCATTTAAACAATTACACAAACTAACAGTATAAAATTTTAATTTCAAAGATAGTTTTATAAAAATGAGAGTTAAAATTGCTGCACAGAAATGGAGTGCGACTGTTGCTGCAGCAATTAATTCCATGACAGCTTGTGGAATTATACCTTTTGCAGCACTGGATACAATATTCGTTCAATTAATTGACGATCTCTTCGATTCTTTAAATGGTCACAAGCAATACAACGATGACAATAAAATGTATAGAACCGTGCTAAAAGATGGCTCTCCTCAAGTTATGGAACAAATTATTACCTGAAATGAGTGCGTGGAAACTGATTGATTTGAACAATGAAAAAGATGTCACAAATACTTATTCCTTTGTGAAAAGCTGGATAATAACAATTCGAGCTGTTATATATTTATGGGAGCGATTACAGAAACTATGGTTTTCATTATTTAATTTTGAGGAACTTGAATCAAGATCCGATTGAAAACTTATTTTGTAACATTCGACAACATGGTATTCAGAATTCCAATCCCACTTGCCATCAGTTCACTGCCGCATTAAAAACAGTCGTTTTAAATAAGTTAGTCGCACCAGTGTCGAGAGTTGCAAATTGTGAAGACGACAATTGCAATAATTTAGAAAATTTTGGACATTTTTTGAAGACGGTTACTACCGAAAACATACAACTCAAAGAAACTAAAACATTCGAGAATGTCGAGTCACCTGTTGAATGGATCAGTTTCGAAGAATTGAACATTGAGGAAAGTCTGTCACTGTCATATGTGTCAGGATACATCCTTAAAAAAGTTAAACTTCCAAATGAAAATTGTGAATGTTGTCAGAATGACTTATTTGCGTCGCAACAACAACATCATTTGTTCACAATGTTCAAAGAACACGGATCAACTGACTCGTTAACATATGCGAGTGATCAGGTCATTACATTAGTACAAAACCTCTATGTCAGGCTGTATTTCTTAGATACGAATGGCCATAAGTTGCAATTGGAGTCCGCTTTTAAGACTGATTTTTACGAAAATTATAACAGCACTTTCTGCGAAGCACACAAATGTGATCGATTAATTGTTAATAAAAGTGTCACGTTTTTAATATTTAAGTATGTCAAAGATCGTAAGAAATCAAAAGAACGAACCTCCAGACTCTATGAAAAAATGAAACAGTTAAAATCTACATAATTCGAGTCATATTTTCTATTGAATTTTCAATTCGTGCTATGTTCCGTACTTTCAAATCCGAATATTTCTGATTTCTTATGAATAAACTGAGCTACAAAAATGGGCTACAATTTTTGCGAGTTTTCATATTTTATTGCTACTTGCATATAATATGCTTCTTTTATACTCTTTTCCTTTTATTTTAAGTTTTAAACCAGAATATTTTTGGCTAATATAATCGCGAAAGAAATTATATTTAGATTAATATAGACCAATACCGATCGACGCGAGAAGTTATGTTGTAATTTTTTTTTCATTTTCTTAATCGAAAAATTGGTTCTTGAATTTTGAAGTTGATACATTCTTAGATTTTTGGTTTTACTTTTACGTTTGTTGCACGTACAATTAATTCGTTCAATTTATAAGATTTTATTTGTTCTTGTCACGTAATTTGTAAAGTTTTCTTTATTGTTGTACAATGACTCCGATAAACCAAAGTATTAGATGCAATTGCGAAAAAAAGAAATGTCCGGACTATCCAGTTTCGCTCGTATAAAGACTGACTTGTTATGTAGTTTGTAAGATTACATACAGTTTTATTTACAAATGTGAACTTTCTTTAAGGATTGTTAAGGATATAGAAAAATCTAGCATTTATTGACATATTAAAAACCAGTTAAAAATATACATTATTTTCTAACAAAAATGCTCTGTCTTTTGTGTTACACCATTCACGTATACGAGGTGTGATCAAAAAGTAAGGTGACTTTTTGAATTTCGCGCGCTCTGTACACTCTAATTTAAAAAATTTTTTTTTGTTGTGTTGGTACACTCGTCACGATCATATGTTCACAGTTTTGACTATATAGCATGTTTTGTTTTTATGTGAGAGGCATAAAGGTTAGACTCGTGTTTGCGTGCTCGGCGATTTTTTGCTTTTGAAAATAATGGAGCAGAGAGTTTGTATTAATTTTTGTGTAAAAAATGGTATTAAGTGTTCAAAAACTCTTGAAATGTTGACAGTGGCGTACGGTGAGTCAACTTTGAGCAAAAAAAATGTTTATAAATGGTATAAGTTATTCCAAGAGGGCCGAGAAAATGTTAACGATGAACCTCGCTCTGGACGCCCCAGCACGTCAAAAACCGACGAAAATGTTCAGGAAGTGAAAGAAATTGTGTTGAAAAATCGTCGAATCACGATTAGAGAAATAGTTGATGATCTTAACATATCGTTTGGCTCATGCCAATCAATTTTAACGGATGTTTTGGGTATGACACGTGTGTCAGCGAAATTCGTTCCAAAACTGCTTAATTTGGATCAGAAGCAGTGTCGCATGAACATCGCCCAAGACATGTTGAACGACGTCAATGATGATCCTGATCTGCTCAAAAGGGTTATAACTGGTGACGAAACAT